GGGTTGGATTCACCGAAGTGGACGATAGGCAAGAGAAGACAGAGGAGTGGACCTGACAAGCATAAGATTCATTCAATAGCCAAGCAGGAGAGTCTGCACCACTCCGAAGTACTAATAACTAAGTTGAAGAGAGAGCGGGGCAGGCCATAGACGAAAGTGAACTATAGACTACTTACCAAAGACCATAGGCAATGGACGAAAGACCAGCAGAAGGGCATTAGTCGCCGAGGAAGCTAGTGCGCGTAGATCAAAGCTTAGTGGAGAGACCATACATTGGCCAGTTCCAAGGACAGGTTATCAACAGGGGAAGAGGCAGTGTGGATGGCAGGTTCGATTACGGAGAAGTAAATAATCAATGATTATGCAGAGGGTCCAGCAGTAACTAATTACCCAAGCAGAAGGACAATGACACTAGCTAACCAACTGAGAGAGTCAAATAGATAGATGAATTACTTGCTAAAGGAAAGGAAAGAAGTGGAATCAGACTCAGTTTCAGTTCATCACAGGGATTCGGAAGTAGCCGTATTTGATGATGTTGATGTTTCAAAGTAACTTCCGGAATTTAGCATTGAAGATAAGGACAGAAGAAGATAGGTAGCTTTCCGCCCTAACTAAAACATCTAAATCTTAATAGGATGCAGCTCGTCCCGATCTGTCTCCGGTCGTAACTAAGATAGATCGATTAATCTCCGAGAAGTCCTAAAGCGGAAGTCATCTATTGAGGACAGGACTAGGCAGACGGAGGTCTAGGAGCTTGAATAGCTTACTGAATTAGCTCAGTAAGGGCCTACAGCTTCTCTTGAGTCTATAGGAAAGATCAGGGCAGATATGCCCCGGAAAGCAAGAAATCCCTAAATCCAGTTATTCTTTAGGGTAAAAGGCTGGTTTAGCTCAACAATTGATAGATTGCGTTATATTGTCCGCTAAAAGCATTCTGTCCTGATGGTTTAAAAACCTAAAAAGATGGCAGTTATCACCTGCTGACGAAGTGGTGAGGTTTGCAGAGAATACACTAAAGATCTCCTAGCTTCTAAAAGAAGAAATTCTCACAGGCCTTTATTTCAAAGTTTCAGATTCGATTCCAAGGCAGCTTTTCTTTAGTCCTCAGGATATGATTCTTTAGTATGTTACCAGGGGCTGAGCTCAATAGCAACTTACTCAAAGACTGCGGCTACTTTAGCCTCAGTATGTTCCTACTGTTCCTACAATGAGGATAGGGGAATCCCCGCTGGTAAGGAATCCAAATAGAATCCAAGGGAATAGACTTCCTTGCTGCCGAACTTCTCAGAAGAAGCTGGGCCTGTAGAATGTAGAAAAGAAGACTAGCCTTTCGATTTGAGTATTAGAAATAGAATGCCTTGGTTTATACTTCTAAGGAAGGGCTTTTCTTTTGTAACTACCTAATCCCCCTGGAGGGTCAATGGCCTGACTAAGAAAATTGCTGAAGCTGCAGTTACAGAGGGGAGAATTGGAATTGAATCCAAGGCTTTGCCTCTAGGATCATCTTACCTTCTAACTAAGGCAGTTTTCTACTAATTCAATCGATGTTTTCACCTTACTTAACTAGAGAGCAGATGCTGGAGTGGGAGGCCGGGCTTTCGCCTTTAAAGGTATAAGCTGTGATGTGATAGGCACGAAGTCAAGCAACCTATGAGTAAGTACTCCCGGTCTATACCTTGGCTAAAGTATCTTGCCAGGTATGCTAAGCTACCTATCCCTAAAGAGAATAGGCATCTTGTTACGGATAAAACTACGTTTAAGAAAGAACGATCATATGATGTCCAGAAAACGCATTAGAAAGCTCTATAGAGGTACGCAGTTGCTCCACCGATAGGGAAAGGGGATAGGGTTTGAGTTACCCAGCTCAGTAACAAACAAGGTTCGGAGAACAACCTAATTACGAAAGAACCCCTGTTGATTCGCCAAAGATCTACAAGCCAGGATTCTAGAGAAAGAGATGCTATTAAGGATACTTTAACAGAACCTTAGGACTTATCTTGAGTTGGGCATCCCTGACTCCATTCCTGACTAGAGAAGGGAATGCGGTGAATCACCAGTTTGGATCGAAGAATAGGCACCCACGAATTAGCAGCATATTTGCGGGATCTATCGAGTGGAAAACCGGGATGTCGATACACCGAAGAGCTACCAAACACGATCACCAACAAGAGAGTAGCAAGTGCTGGCTTGGGGCTCAGAGCTCCTTAAGCTTGGGTTCGCTTCGGGCTTGCGTTCGACCTTGGCTTCGGGATTGGCTCCTAGGCCCAGCTAACAATAAACTACAACACCAGATCTCCTGCGGATAATACCCTAAAAGAAATACCGCTGATTCGTCGAGAATCTACATCCAGGACTGGTAGACAAGAAGCTAGCAACTCGATCTAGAGATCGAAGAATGGGAGAATGACCCGAACAGGTAAGAGATACTGGCGATAGGCCTCAGAGATACAATCGATGAATCACCGGAAGGAAATACTGGTGATACGCCGAGAGATACTGGGAATTCTACGAAGAAGTGCACCTGGACTATAGAGCTCCTCACCCACTAAAAAGAGAAGAGGCCGGGGAGGATCGATACACTTCGTTGTCCATCCCANAGTCCTAAAGCGCAGAAGTCATCTATTGAGGACAGGACTAGGCAGACGGAGGTCTAGGAGCTTGAATAGCTTACTGAATTAGCTCAGTAAGGCCTACAGCTTCTCTTGAGTCTATAGGAAAGATCAGGGCAGATATGCCCCGGAAAGCAAGAAATCCCTAAATCCAGTTATTCTTTAGGGTAAAAGGCTGGTTTAGCTCAACAATTGATAGATTGCGTTATATTATCCGCTAAAAGCATTCTGTCCTGATGGTTTAAAAACCTAAAAATATGGCAGTTATCACCTGCTGACGAAGTGGTGAGGTTTGCAGAGAATACACTAAAGATCTCCTAGCTTCTAAAAGAAGAAATTCTCACAGGCCTTTATTTCAAAGTTTCAGATTTGATTCCAAGGTAGCTTTTCTTTAGTCCTCAGGATATGATTCTTTAGTATGTTACCAGGGGCTGAGCTAAATAGCAACTTACTCAAAGACTGCGGCTACTTTAGCCTCAGTATGTTCCTACTGTTCCTACAGTGAGGATAGGGGAATCCCCAGTGGTAAGGAATCCAAATAGAATCCAAGGGAATAGACTTCCTTGCTGCCGAACTTCTCAGAAGAAGCTGGGCCTGTAGAATGTAGAAAAGAAGACTAGCCTTTCGATTTGAGTATTAGAAATAGAATGCCTTGGTTTATACTTCTAAGGAAGAGCTTTTCTTTTGTAACTACCTAATCCCACTGGAGGGTCAATGGCCTGACTAAGAAAATTGCTGAAGCTGCAGTTACAGAGGGGAGAATTGGAATTGAATCCAAGGCTTTTCCTCTAGGATCATCTTACCTTCTAACTAAGGCAGTTTTCTACTAATTCAATCGATGTTTTCACCTTACTTAACTAGAGAGCAGATGCTGGAGGGGGAGGCCGGGCTTTCTCCTTTAAAGGTATAAGCTGTGATGTGATAGGCACAAAGTCAAGCAACCTATGAGTAAGTACTCCCGGTCTATACCTTGGCTAAAGTATCTTGCCAGGTATGCTAAGCTACCTATCCCTAAAGAGAATAGGCATCTTGTTACGGATAAAACTACGTTTAAGAAAGAACGATCATATGATGTCCAGAAAACGCATTAGAAAGCTCTATAGAGGTACGCAGTTACTCCACCGATAGGGAAAGGGGAGAGGGATTGCGAAAACTGAATTACAATAGCTCAAGTTCAGTGAGTTTTAGGTATTGGTATTGAGAAGAAGAAGGCTTTTTTTTTTTCTTTTTTTTTTGTCCCGAAGTCATTCTCCATTCCAATTTGGAATAGCAAGCGTAAGCGCAGGAGTTTTCTTGCTCTCGCTATCGTACCTCAGCCTTTCCCCAAGCACTAACTAAGCCTTCATCCTCTCCCTATGCTCTTCCTGCGCTGTAGCTTTTCTCAATCCTCTCGCTATCGGTAAAGCAACTATGTACCTTTCGGTAGGTACAGTGTCTTTCGCTTCCCTTACTCCACTCTTTTCTCCTTTTAGGGAAAGAAAGAGCTTTGTAAAGCGATTCATATCGATTACGTAACGCCCTCTTCCCTGCTAGTATCCCTGTCCCATTAAGGTTAGGTGGGGGAATGGAACTGAAAGAAAGACTGTTGGAGAATATAGGTCTACTTTTTCTGCTGGCTTGGTTGAACTGGCTAACCCTGCATTGCTTTCAAAGGAATGCCTTTTACTATTGTTACTTCCCTCTCAACTTGCCATAGGACTTGTAAAATTCCCACATCCGATTCGTAAACAGACAGGCTTGACCCAACCCTCAGACTGTCTTATAATAAGATAGTCATAATAGTCTAGTGCTAAAGGCCTAAAAAGAAAATGAGCAAAATCTTCCTCCTTCAGGTGTGGCTTAGCATTAGGAAGTTCTTATAGAATGCGCTGTGAAGGAGAAGACAGAAGCACTGACATAGTGAATGTCCGAGGAGTCAATAAGTGCCTCGCTTTACAGTAAAGGAAGACGAATCCGCGAAAGGAAAGGTAACTGAAAGCGTATCCGCTTTGGGACCTGAAGGATTTTCTGTTCTGACCTTCCTGAGCACGAGAGGCGTAACGATCTGGGCACTGTCTCGGAGAGAGGCTTGGTGAAATAGACATGTCTGTGAAGATGCGGACTACCTCCACCTGGACAGAAAGACCGATTGAAGCTTAACTGTTCCCTGGGATTGGCTTTGGGCTTTTCCTGCGCAGCTTAAGTGGAGGGCGAAGAAGGCCTCCTTCCGGGGGGGGGGGGGGGGGGGGGAGCCATCAGTGAGAGATACCACTCTGGAAGAGCTAGAATTTCTGGGAGAAACTAAAGTAAGGAGCATGTTACAAATAAAAACCTCTCATACTCGGCTAGCATAAGGTGCAGCTTCAGGAAGTACATGAACAGTTCTGACAAAGTCAGAGAGAGTAGACAATCTTGATGTAAGTTCTTGTTTCTTCGCTCGCAGGAATTTTTGTTCTATAAAATTGTTGAATTTACTTTGTTCCAGAGTGACGAATGTGAAAGAGCTATCTGTGGGATGACTTGCACTAGTACATGCTCTAGTCTGCGATTTCTTATGCCTTGTGATTTTCAAGAACTAGTCTGTCATCGAACAAAGGGAAGACTTAGAAGAAATACAACTAATACAGTGCTACTTAAACATGCAAAACAGGTTTTCAGCAATAGGCCTATGCTATTTTGCAGCCATGGTGCATATATAGCCTTCTTTCTTTCAAACAAAATGGACGACAAAGTTGAAATTGAAGAAATTATGTTGGATGCTCCACTTCAAGTTGATCAACTGTTGGAACTATTCTCATCACCAGGCTTAATTCCACTGCAGCAAAAGAAATGTGGTAATTTGACTCGACCACAGACCCTGCAAGTTTATTTGCAAGCAGAAGAACATCAAGAGTATTAGCATGGAATAGTGTAGAGACCTAGATTAAGACCAACAAAGAAGGGCGGAACTGAGAGCACAACAAAAGTCGTTGCATTAGATAAGAAAATGAAATGACACTAAGCAATTGTCTTCCTTACTGAGGACCAAGATAAACATCATGGTGGCAGTAAAAACTCACACCCGAATCATATAATCATGCATGTCTTTCGAATATCATCATTTAAAATCTCAATTTCCCTACAGAATCTTTTTGTGTGTGTAAACAATCATAATCTTATTGTTTAACAATCATTCAAGCAAGATGTTACCTTGCAACATATCGTACTTAAAACCCATCGACTCGGAAAACACTAAGAAGCAAAAGCTTTAGTCTGTCTACTGAGCTAAGATCAGACAACCAGGTAAAATCTCAAAAACTTACTCCATTGGACAGCCAATGCAAGCTCAATAATGGGATATGTGATGAAAGAAAAACACTCTTTTTCCTTCTTGTCGACCTTTTTTCTATTTATGGGCGACCCAAGTACACTTTTACTTTTTCATTGTCCCTTTTCTTTGAGGGGCTTTCCGCCTATCAAAACTACCCTTGAGACACATATCGACTTTTATGCTAGTTCTTCTTCCAGCATGAAAGTTCCATTATTGGGAAAGACTGATGTACTATACTTTTTATTTTGTCGAGCCTTGCATTGGTCTCCGGTTTGATGATAGGACAAATAATAGTATTTCAGAAGCACTAGGAAAGACATACAAATGTCAATATATCCACCTTCCGTTATTTACAAGCTAAATAGAAAACTTAGGATTTTAGCTTACTAGCTAAACATTTCATGCTAGAATACGTTACGATTGAGATTACTTTATCGGAAGAAGCATCAAATATAACTTGTTCATTTCTTGGCATAAAGCTCTTACTTGCAACGCATAATCACTGGCACTGGTTTTAGAGCCTTTGGTCCATTTCTTATGCCTCTCTTATGAGGGGAAACCTGCATTATCAAGCATATCCTATCAGCATAACATAATGTGATGAAATGTGAACCATGCATACACAATCTCTCGGTGCCACATGCAACCTCACAGCTTGAACATGCATTTTGGTAAGTGTAATAAATATGGAAATTTAAACAAGTGTGCCAAGTTGGCATGCAAAACTATGCAAAAAAAGCACTAAGAAGGAGGTCAAGGAGGTCGTCTAATTGAGAAGGTTCCAATATTTCAGATAAAGGTTCAAAATCCAACATATGATTTTCTCTTTAGGAAAAGTGAAGAATGGTGCTTGTAAGGATTGTATACATTCCTTTTTGTGTAGATAGTTGGACATATTCTTCGGAAGCTTAAATGTTACACAATGTAAAAAATTTCCACCATCTTAGTGCAACATTAGTGAAATGATTTTTAACTTAAAAGGAAAAAAAAGGAAAGCAGACATTTCTTATGGAATATGCACAAGCAAGCAGAAAGCCCCTCCACATGAATAACCTAGTAAAGTGTGAAAGGCTATCAATCTTGCTGCCAATTATTGACAAAAAGCCGATAGAGATATATATACAGGGGCCTCTACAAAGCCACAAGTTTACCAGCATTCAGTTTATTGTCCGAAGGGGTAGTTAAGATCAGGATATTTCTAAGGCACTTAGCTAAACTGTTACTAATTGTGAATAAACAGCCAAAATGTAATCCCATCATTTCAGTACAACAATTATAATTTATTATAGCAAAATCTTATTTCTGGGCATCTTAATTTAAGTCTCAAATCCATATTCATGTATTTACTGGAATCCAATTTGCTTCCCCACCCCCACCCCATTTTGATTGTTAATAGCTTCCACAATATCTCCAAAAAAAAAAAAAAAATATTGTAGGAGGTCTTGTCTTGTCCCAACCAACTTCATTTTATGCTTTTAAGCTTAGTTTTACTACCTACTTTCATATCTAGAACTGTCCAGAAATTTCCTGGTCTGATCCAAGCTTTGAGGTTTGCAGGAGAATAAAGACCAAAATTTTAAAAAAAAAAAGTAAAGAGGGTCATTTTGTATTCTAAGCCACCATGTTGCCGAAACTATTTGCTCCCTCCACCCCATTTTCATTTGACCCAGCACTCGCCAATACCCTGACAAAGCTCACACTTTATCTTAATCTCTTCTACTTTGCAAGGGAACACAGAAAATTAAGCTACCTCCCAAATTTCGCCACCCACATAGTTACGAGCACCAGAAGTATTTACAGGATTCATATATTCTTAGTGCTTCAATTAGGATGATTTTTGCCCAACAGTACTTATGTTCTCTGATGGTTCTATTTCCCCAATAAAGATCATTATGGCAAATGTTTTCTCTAAAGATGTCTTTCTAAACATCCTGAAACTATCATCTACCAAGTTTATTACCTCATATTCAAAAAATAGAAATAAACAAAAGCTCTGCACACATAAAAGGTTTTGCTTCACATATGATCACGAGAGACTTTGTAACGTTACTGATATCATCTCACTGCGTAATTAGAATAAGACGATAACATCTCCGGAACCAAGACAAAAAGAGTACAAGGTAAAACTTAATGCAGGAATAAGTAGTCCACAGTGGCGGAGCAAGGAATCTATATAAGGGGATTAAAAGAAATACTAGAATGTCACACGTGAGAATTGAACTTCTTACCAAAAGCAATTTTTGAACCCTTTTATAGCTACAAGCCTACACTAGAAATTTTCCTTGTATCAGGGGGATTCAACAGTTCACATATAACCCAAAACATTCATTTATACACTACTTGCACAGTATAATTTTTTGACTAAGGGGATTCAGTTGAACCCCCTTCCCTCCTACTAGCTCTGCCGTAGTGTGCAACACTGTTCTGCCCAACATTATCTTTTCAAAGCCAGAATACATGGCAATGCAAATTGCGAAGCATAACTCAAGACTCAACAGACAGTTAACATCTTAATCATCAGGTGAACTTAATGTTTCCAAATCAATATTATGAGAATCTATATCCGCAAAAGAAACATACCCTATATTAAACAGTAAGGACGCCTAAAAGTACACTACGCAATATGGTTATCCTAAAACCCTAAACCCCTGACCGTAAAAGGATAATAATACCCATCAAGTAATAACTAAATTAATAACCTTAACCATCACTTTAAACGACATTCTTTTGCAGTCTAATTACAAAAATTCATGCATTTGCAGCCTAATTAGAAAGGATTAAAAAAGAAAAAGAGAGGATCTTTGTTACCTTTTTCTTAGGAACAGCCATGAGCTCCATAGACCCACCAAATAAAGGTGAATTTGGGAGCATAAATCCTATGCTATTGTTGTTGTTGTTGTTGTTATAATAGTTTTCATATTCAGGTAAAACCAACGATGGTGATGAAGCTGTCGGGTAATTAACTGCTCTATCAAGCGGTGCTGGTTGAGCTATGGCGTGGGAAAATCTTCGAAAGCTATATATATAATTGGATTTCATTCGGCTGCTTCTTAACATCAACGCCATTTTCAATTTTTCGCTGCTCCGGACGAAGGGAACTCAGTTCAGTTGATGCTGAAGAAAATGGCGAAGAGACAGAGGTTGGAGAAGGTTTCACAGGTTGAACTTGAGGCCCATGGATTCATATGGGCCAAGAATATTGGGCTTGGACTACCCATTTAGCAAAAAATTGCACAAATAGGATACTTTGAGGGGTGAAATACATAAATAACTCTCAAAATGGATGATCTTGAATTTTTGTGTGTTGTCCCCGCTTGTCGTTGGCAAAACTTTAAGGGATCGTTTGGTCGAGCAACAAGTTATCTCATGATTAATTATCACGGGATTAGTTAGTTTGGGATTAGTCATCTCACCCTCTCATATGGATGGAAAAAATACTATAATCCTGAGATAACTAATTCCGAGATTAATTATACCACAATTTTATCCCAACCAAATATAGGATTAACTCATCTTAAATTTAATCTCGCGATCAATTATCCATTATCCCTCGTACCAAACAAGTCCTAAGTTTAACAAGTATAGCGCCTAGCTTGTCTCCCATGAACAATACTTTTAACTTTTAACTTTAAAGTTATGTTTATAGGACAAGTGGGGGTCAAAAATTAAAAGATAATTATGAAATTCCTGTTAGGATTTGCCCTGAATTTTTAATCTATTAGGACTCTCTTTCTTGAAGGAATGAAAAAGACCCCTAAAAGGATTAAATATCCTTAATATGTCTTATCCTTTTCTTGGAAGACAAGTTTTGCACATCTATAAATTAAAGATCTCTTGCTTCTCACAAGAGCACAAAAATATCCACAATGTAGTCATTCAAGAGTTTTGTTTAAGGGGAGATTTTTCTCTCGATAGTTTTTATTCTTTTATATTAGTTTTATCATATGTAGATCAATTGACCAAAGCATTATAAACTATTATGCTTAGTTTAGTATATTTTTCTTTTGTCGTCTGATTTATCGTCAACAAAGCTTTATATTATTAGTTTCCGCGTGCACCATGTTATTTCGATCCCAACAATTCCGGTCCTTCGAGTTGACGCTTTTAGTGAACCTTTTCTTTTCTTTTTTTATGCCTTTTTTATATATTTCTTGTTTTAAATATTAAAAAAAAAAAGTGTAGCATTTACCACAATTTTCTTTCTTACCATTACTTTTATATTACTTGAGGGTCTTCTTTATTAACTTCTTTGTTTGACATGTGAATTATGGATCCACTTATTAGAAGAAGCAAACAAAAAAAGATTGTGAATCAGTTATAGAGTACAAGGATAATTTATATGAAGAAAAAAGGGTTAGAAGTCATGTTGAATTGAAGAAAAAGACAGCAAATAGCATAAGGATAATTAAGATGAAAAATGAAAGGACAAAAATAGGAACGACACTTCTTTTTATCTGCTTGTATTTGCAATATAAAACCGTTAAATTTAACAACTTTGTTCCCTCCAAAAAAAATTGTATAACTGTAATCCAAATCTAGTTACATGGCATTTCCTGCTCCAACACTTAAAATAGGAACTTTCTCATGCCAAGATTTCATTACAAAGAATTCAAGAAAAGACACATTCACACCAATTGACCCTTTTTCTCTTGTACCCAAATGCAAATCTTTGACAGACCTTAAGCAAATTCAAGCCTTTTCCATAAAAATCCACATGCAAAATGATGTCTTTTTTATGAGTAAGCTCATAAATTTTTGCATAGCTAATCCAACACCTGCCTCTTTGCACCATGCCCACCTCTTGTTTGATCAAATTCCACAACCAGATATAGTCCTTTTTAACTTCTTGGCCCGGGGCTATGCTCGTAGTGACACCCCATTAAATGCTTTTGTCCTGTTCTTGAAAATTCTAACATTAAGTATTGCCCCTGATTTTTATACCTTTCCTTCTCTGTTGAAGGCTTGTGCAGGTGGAGAAGCTTTAGAAGAAGGTAAGCAATTGCATTGCCTTTTGATTAAATATGGCCTTAATGACGATATGTATGTTTGTCCTGCACTGATGAATATGTACATTGAGTGTAATGACAATGGTTCAGCTCGTCGAGTGTTTGATAGGATAGCTGACCCTTGTGTGGTAACGTATAATGCGATCATAATGGGTTACGTGAGAATTAGCGAACCAAATGAGGCTCTCTTGTTGTTTCGTGAATTGCAAGTGAAAAAACTTAAGCCTACTGATGTTACAATTTTAGGCGTTGTTTCATCATGTGCTTTGTTGGGAGCATTGGGATTCGGAAAGTGGGTGCATGAATATGTTAAGAAGAATGGTTTTGATCAATATGTTAAGGTGAACACTGCACTTATTGATATGTATGCAAAATGTGGGAGCTTGCCTGATGCAATTTCAGTTTTCGAGTGCATGCCTTACAAGGACACTCAAGCATGGTCAGCAATGATCATGGCTAATGCTATTCATGGGCGTGCTCGTTGTGCAATTTCTTTGTTTGAAGAGATGCAGAAGGCTCGAGTTAGACCTGACGGAATCACATTTTTGGGTCTATTATATGCATGCAACCACAGTGGATTGATCGAAGAGGGTTTTAGATATTTCAATAGCATGAAAGAAAGCTACAGGATCGTACCAGGGATGAAACACTATGGATGTATGTTGGATTTGTTGGCTCGGGCGGGCTGCCTTAATGATGCTTTTAAATTCTTAATGGAAATGCCTATTCCGCCTACAGTTTTACTTTGGAGGACATTGTTAGCTGCTTGCAGCACTCATGGAAATGTGGATTTGGGAAAGCTGGTAATTGAGAAAATCTTCGAAATGGACAAATCACACAGTGGCGATTATGTGATCTTTTCAAACATGTGTGCTCGAGCTGGGAAGTGGGAAGAAGTGAACTATACCTGGAAATTGATGAAAGTTAGAGGGATTAAGAAAATTCCTGGCTGTAGTTTGATAGAGGTTAACAATGTAATGCATGAATTCTTTTCTGGTGAGGTTACGCGTATTGAGCACAGGGAGCTCCACCAGGAAGTTGACAAGTTAATTGAGAAATTGAAATTGGTTGGTTATGTTCCTGATACTTCTATAGCTTTTCGTCCTGGCCTAGAAGATGAAGAGAAAGAAGCTACTCTGAGGTACCACAGTGAAAAATTGGCAATTACTTTTGGTCTTCTTAATAGTCCACCTGGAAAAACAATTCGTGTTGTTAAAAACCTTAGAATCTGTGGGGACTGCCATTCAGCTGCAAAACTCATATCGCTCATCTTTAAACGAAATTTAATTATCAGAGATATGCAAAGGTTTCATCATTTTGAAGGAGGAAAATGTTCTTGTGGGGATTTTTGGTAACAAATGAACGGTACGCACTCTTGCAGCGGGAAACATCCACCACCTTCACATTAACATGTTTCATCAATTTTAAGGTGGAAAATGTTCAGGTGGGTATTTTTGGTTACATAATTGATGGAATGCACACTAGATAGAGCAAGCATCAACCACCTTAACATCAACAGGAGCAAATGCAGAGTTTCCTTGTGATGACTGGGTATTCTCATCAGCCATCAAAATAGCTTGTCTTACAGATTTTCTTGTGAATCTTGGTGAATTTCGAAATCCAAGGTTTGAAAATAAGTAGGTTTTTTTAGTTTTGCATACATATTACATTTTGCTAAGTTTCTTTAATTCTTTCAATCCATAAATTACATGCGAAACTACTCTTTCTTGCAATCAACTGAAGTACTAAACAGTACTAATTCAAGAAGAAAACTTAAAATTGAATCCATTAATAACCCTGTATTATGGAAAATGAAATTTCAATGTAGAACCATTATCCTTGAAATACTGTGTTTCTGTTTGGTACATAATTTCATTATTTTCCAAACAAAAGCCTAATTGAGATGAGACCATTATATGTCTTGGACCACAGACCCTTTTTTTTGTTTTGGTAACCATGCTTCATGAAAAGAGAGGACCACGCAACTTGTTCTACACTAACCTGCTTGACGATATTCTGTCCACTAGCCATCTTAAATTTTATGAACTGCCGTGTAGAATTCCTAATAAATGTGGTATCTATCATAACATATGCCTCACCCATATTAGCAATATTTAGCATGCTTCCCATACTTCTCTGTGATGGGGAGTCAAATCAAAAAATGGCTCCATTTGGCACATTCTCGCTGTCCAAAATATCCTGTTAGACTAATGTTAGCAGTTTGTGTTCCACATTATTTTACCCCTTGGACATGAAAATAACTATTTTTACTAATGTAGAGTTTGGTAATTTGTTGCAGTGAACTTTGGCATGCATGGGCTTTGGACAAATTACAACAATGGCTCCTATCCAAAAAGTGGTGATAACACAGCCCTCTATAATGAAACAGAGGTAAGCTCAACAAATTGCTATTTTACGTATTATAGATATGATGCTCTTTTGTACCTTTGGCGCACTGGCAGTAGCTCGTGAACAGAGTTAATTTCTAGAAATAGTTGCTCAAGGAACTATCTTTCTCGAGTTTCTACCACTGGAGTTTCTATTTCAACGGATGACATGGGTATGATTACAAATCTTCGCCCACTAGCCCCATCAAACATCAAGTCCATACTAGATTGTTGGAGATGGTGGGAGTGGGCAGGGCAGGGCAAGAAAGTAACAACCATACCCGATATTTAGAGCGCCAGAGATAGAAAGCGGCGACAGCTGGATTGGAGTTATTGAACATTAAATAAGACCATTCTCATGGCTGACATAATATGAGTACTATAACATCCTTGTGTGGACCTCTTTGTTACAAACCCAACTATTGATCTGCATTTTGATATGGTTGTCTGGTGTCAAATTCTATCTTAATAATAGGTTATCTATAAACGAAGCTAGAATTATTCCAACCACATGTCCTTGTAGTCTGACATTGAGATTATCATCATTTCATTAAGTAATGGTTGACAATTAGCACTGCATTAGGATTGTGTCGAGATCAATTGAGAGTGATAAGGAACTTAAAGTTCTATTTGCTTATTAACTTACAAACAAACGTTGGATACAGGAGTTTGGTTTGTTCCCAATTATAGCCTGGTTAGGCCAAGGACATGCTTGCTATTTGCTAATGTAGCCACAATCATAACAGAATTGTTGTTCCCTTGGGCAAGTCGTTCGCTATCAGAGAGGTTGGTTCGAGTCCAACTCGTGAAGCAGTTTGTGACTGTTTGTATACCTCGAGATAAATTTTTATCCACAACTCATCCTCGAAATCTAGTCTAGTTTAGTCATATAGGACTTAAAACTAAGGTGCTTTCTCTGTTGGTTTAATTGTGGAATCAAACAGTGGCGGACCCAAATTCTTTAAATTATGGGTGCTAAACTACTTTTAATATGATATTGCTACTGAGATTGGGTGCCAAGTCAATCTACTTGTGTGCGTACCTTTAACGTAGGTCCACCATTGGAAATAGACCGTGATCTCAGTATAATGCCTCATCATACATATCTGTAACCAGATTTATATGTATAGTCAATGATTTGTATGTATAGTCACCTCTGTCGTGCTCGTCAACTATCTGATAGATAGATTTATATGCAGGGCGGATTTAGAGTATAGTATAGGGGTTCCTCGGAACCCAATAACTTTTGCGTACACCCTATATTTCTATTAAAAATCCACCAAATATCTATAAATATCTAACTGCGAACCTAGTTATTATTGTATATTAATTTGAGATCACGATAGGAACCCATAAACTTTAAATTCTAGATTCGCCTCTGTTTATATGTATAGAAGGATAGGATGCTCGAAGTTTTCCATTATGACAAACCACCCAACCCTATTGGTGCACCCTTACCCTGTGGTCCTATCTCAAAGCACCAGCCATATTAAATATATCATGTGTACCTTGCTCTTCTCTTGCATTATCACATGGCACCTCTCATTTGTTTTTTGGTGAACCTGTAATAATAATAGAGATAAAAGAGAAAAAAGAAAAAAAGAGAAGACCATTGTTGAGATTTAAAAAAATTTACTCAAATAGTTGAGCACAAAGTTGTAAGTAACCACTTTACTGTGACTCATCTCAACATTGCATTTTTTTTTTCTCCCCTCCTTTCTCTTCCCATGAATGAGCTAAGTAAACATTGAAAAAGAAATACTGAAATTCAAGTCACCTATCTGACTTAAATTTTGTAATGAAATTAATAGAAATTCGAACAACCTACTGGTGCTCCCCATCTTACTTTAATTTTGTAATTCCAGATACCTGGCTTGTTCAAGATTAGGTGCACAATCCCATATACAAATATACTAGAGTGATTTTGAATGTTTTATGGTTTCAGTACTGATCTTCAATATGGGATTTGAACAGGGAAATCCTCAATCTCATCCGTCCACGCGTTCTTTTCAATGGCTGCATCAACGGTCCTTAGCGCGCGCCAAACAGCACTGTTACATTTGAATCCTGAGCCGAACCCTATTTGCCATGCTCTGTCACCCTTCTTTATCCTCCCTTTGGCCTCGGAATAGGCCAAATTATACCACACTGAGCTACTTGAAGTGTTTCCGAACCTATAAAGAGTCATTCTTGAAGGTTCCATAAGTTCTTTTGAGAGATCAAGATTCTTCTCAAGCTCGTCCAACACGGCCCTCCCCCCTGCATGAATGCAGAAATGCTCGAATGCCATCTTGAAATCGGGGATATACGGTTTTATTTTCCTTTTAAGGACATTTCTCGCGACTAAAGAGGCGAAAAAGAGGAGCTGCTCGGACATTGGGAGGACTAGAGGGCCAAGAGTTGTAATATTTGTTTTTAAGGCCTCACCAGCTACTGCCATTAAGTCTTTTGATAATGACATGCCCTTTTTGCCATCCTCTTCCTCGTCTTGGTAGGCGCAACCGTATGCTCTGTCGTCTGCACCTTTATGGGTGCGGACGACGTGCATCAGTTGATATTTAGAGCGCCAACGATCTGAGGAACGGTTCGAAAGGAGAACAGCAGATGCACCCATCCGGAAAATCATATTTGGTATTAGCTTTGATTTGTCTTTCCCTGTATAGAAGGCCGCTGAGACTACTTCTGTACTTACAATAAGTGCATAGGTGTTTGCTTGCCCCTATTCAGTAATTTCATATGTCAGCAATTTCTTGAAGAGAAATAAGGGTAAACTTGTAAAAAAGTACTTTTTATTAGTGATTTCATAAAAAGCATATAAAAGGGTAACATGACAATCAAAATGGGACAGTCCTCCTCCTGTTGCATCTCATTGATCATGCTTGATTAAGTACGGAATTTAAGGAGAAAAAACTTTATAACATATTGAAAATATATATTTAGAACTTGTAATCTTAAACATACATGACATTCCTATGGCTAAAGAATCTGTATTGTATTGACTGAAGGCATTTTTTGTAAAGTATTTTCCTATGGCTAAAGAATCTGTATTTTCCTTCAAAAACATACCTAAAAGTAAAATGAAAATTTAATGTTGAAGAGTTTCTAAATATTAAAATATATTATTGATCTTCTTTGGAACAAACAAAAAAACAAAACGAGGGCCATATAAAACAAAATTGAGGGAATAAGTGTTACTAAAACCTTCATAGAAATGTTTCAACATGAGAGTACGTCAATAAATCTAAATAGCCGTCCACTCAAATGTTTAAACTGAAAATAGCAAACAGATATATAATATATATGTATAATCTATATATAATAAATGTATAATCGTATATAATTACTGGGTAGGAAAAATAAGGAGATTTTTTTTTTGAAATAGCCAGATTTATAACTGGTAACTGAAAAATAGTCACGGTTTCAAAAGTAATCGAAATTTAGCCACTTTTTCATATTAAGATATAATACGTACAGAAACACCCTTAAAAATTCGGAAAAATCCTAGCATAATATGCTGGAGTTCGAATTTTTTACATATGAGATTCCAGTATAATATGCTAGAATTTCATAATTTGCTGGGGTTCCAACATAATATGCAAGAAGTTTAAATGGAGTAGTTCCATAATCCAGCATATTATGCTGGAACTTTCCGTGTGCTGGAGTTCCAGCATAATATGCTGGAAGTTTATACTCATGAGCTCCAGAATCCAGCATATTATGCTGGAACTTTCCGTGTTTCAGCAAAACATTGACTATTTTTCAATGAATTTGTAAATATCCGGCTATTTTTTTATTACTAGTCCGAAAACTGACTAGCGCGTACTATTTTCACTAAAAGATTGTGTTTGAAGATATACCAACCTGTAAAAGCCGATTAGCTAGGTCTACAGAAATAAGTCCAGCACTGCAACCCATGCCTCCAAGATTATAAGTAATCACATTAACTCCAAGCTTATAATGGTTGACAATCATAGCAGAAAGAGAAGGTGTTGGGTTAAACATACTAGAATTAACAATAACAATCCCAATCTCTCGAATTTTCACTCCTGTTTTAGCCAAAAGATCGTCAATGGCACCAACAATAACCAATTTAGCTTGCTGTTGATTACTACTAAGAGAAAAATTTGATGGAATCCATTTATCTACTGGAATATAAGTCTTATCACTTAAACCTGACCTTTCCAATATTTTCTTTTGAAAATTCAAACTATCTTCATCAAAAATACCAGCCAATTTCTCTACTAAACGTTCTTTAGATATCATATAACGTTCATGTGGTTTATAACATGCAAAATCGACTAAGTAAACATTTCTTGGACGACTCATGAAATATAATGTGGCTAAAAAAACAACAATTGTTGAATAAGATTTCAACATGGCTAGATTTGTCATAAGATCTTCAAGTGTAAGAGTTGAAAGATGAAGTCCAATAGCAACAAGAATTGGAACAATGAGAAGATAAATTGCATTTGATATTAAGTAATGGTAACCAAGTTTTACATATTTAAGTCTAACAGAAAGAAGAAAATTGGGTAGATTTGAATGGATTTCTCCATTTGGAGAATTTTCTGCCATTGTTTTTGGAGAAGAGAAGAGAAAGACTAAAACAAGAAAGGTTGAGGAAAAAAAATATTTGGGGTATGATGAGTTTCCAAGTACATCAAGATTGGTCACAATTTAAAGAGTACTGAAAAAAATAGTCTTGCCCACCCAATTAATGTGCCATTAATTGAGGATATATAAGAATACAATATAGTCAAAATTTGTCATTTACATTTGCCAACTTTCCATTTCCTTTTTAATAAATGCAAAGGTTAGGTTATACCCTACGTGTGTCGGAAGAGATTTTTACCCATGATAAGAAGATAAGACAAATTATTGTACTTGTAAGAAAGGATAATAAATTATTGAAGAATTAACCTACATAGCAGTCCACTCTTACTTAAATTAAAAATAGTCGGTAAATGTATAACATATATATAATTTATGTATAGTCTGTGTATATAACTATGTATGATTTATGTATACCGGCTAGAAAAAGTAAACGGTAAAATTATACGACTATTAATCTATTATGATAAGAAATTCTTTTTCAGCAGTTCTCTAGCCGAGGTATATTGGAAACAACCTCTCTGCCCTTCCAGGGATAGGGCTAAGGCTGCGTACATATTACCCTCCCCAGACCCCACTTGTGGGAAACTACTGGATTTGTTGTTGTTGCTGCTTGTTATTCTAATAAGAAAGCGATCTTAGTTCGGTTCAATAGAACGTGGATCTCCAAAACCCGATGTCGTAGGTTCAAATTCTACGTAGCGTGATTATTTTCTTCTTAAATCAAATTGGAATAAAATAGATTTATTCAGTAACTTTCACAACAATCGAAATCTGACCTTCTGTAATGAAATTACGTAGTAAAGTGATGTATCAACCTTTTTTCTTCAACAAAATCAACTAACTAAAGTCTAGTCTCAAAATAATTAAAGTCGAAAAATGCATTTTCAGGTGTCGG